ACTGGCTGAACAGAGCACCTGCTGTGTGTGGTGGGCGGTCACACAAGATGAGACGGGCGCCCGGGCGGCAGCGTAACTAACCAGCTGGGTGGCCGTTAAAGGGAAAGCAAAGGAGCCCACAGGGGCAGCCAGGACACACTGGTCGGCAGGCTGACACTAAACACCTGCGCCCAGACCCCTTTGGGACCTCGCTATGATGGGCTTCCCACCTGCTGAGGAGTCACCCGCCCCGAGGAGTCTGGCTCTGCCACCATGGAGCCTCTGGGGACATCTTCCCTATGCCGCCCTGCTTCTGCCCCAGCCTGAACCCTGGGCTTTGTTCCGAGTTCCCAATCAATTCAGGTGGGGACCTGGGATCTCGGCTGTCCCCGCAGGACAGAAACCAGCACCCTTTGTGTGTTCCTGAGGATGGACTCCTGCCTCTGGTATTCTCTGCAGAGTCCCTGCCTCATTATTTGACTCCAGCACTCAATCTATAATGAAGGCCCTGGGGGGAAATAAAAAAAAAAAATTATGGGCTGTTCCAATACAAGTAATAACCCGCGGTGAAATGCAGTGGAGTGACATGAGCACCAGAACTGATGCCCAGAAGGCAGGTCGAGCAGGTAATATGTAATTCAGAAGGCAAACGGAAAAGGCTCAGCTGAACAGGCCTCTGAGGCTTCAGGTGTCAGAGCAGGGGAGGGAGGCTGGCCCACACCCTCTCAGGTGACAGCCTGCACGGGGCAGGCAGGGGCAGTATGGTGAGTGGAAAAAGCCACCTGGCTGGCTTCTCCCATCACACCCGCTTGAGCATGGGAACTGCACGGGCACGCACCGACTTACCGGCATGGTTTTGTCTCCAAAGAAATAGATGGTGTTAAAGCCGTCAGCTTCCACGTGTCTGAGGCAGTAGCGTTTATCCCAGCCGTCAGGGAAGACATCGAAGCTGATCTGGCCTCCTGCAGGGTGAGGGGTGGGGAAAACACAAAGACTAGAGGTGAAAGGCAGGCTGGTGACAGACACCAGAAAGAGACAACTGTACTGAAGCAGCCTAGCTGAGCTGGCGACGAGCGCTGCCTTGAGCGCTGTGCTCCAGTAAGATCGATCTGTATGACAACAGCAACACGAGGGTTCTGACAGCAACTTGGAGGTTTATGGAGGAGGAAGCCCTTGGACAGGCGGGGAGAGAGGGTGCACGGCATGGACACAGTCGGTACCGCTGAATCACACATGCAGAAATGGTATTCTGTGTACAGTCTCAACAACAATAATAAAATAACCTGAAAAATACATATAACGGGCTCTTTGTCTTCCTAAGGCTGATGTGACAATATCCTAGTTGACTGCTGACAATACTCCTGGGATAAAACTCACAGTGCTTAAGTCGATTCTCCCTCACAGAGAGCCTCTGTTGGATTTCTGTGGCTGTAAATCTCGACAGGAGGAGGCTGTCCATTTTTTTTCCCTACGGAGCAGAGGGTGGGTTCAAACTGCTGACCTTTTGGTTAGCAGCACAATAAGCTGCACACTATGCCATGAGGGCTTTCTAACTCAGGACAGTCATTAGAAATTAATCTTTGTTCTCTTCCCCAGGATTATCTGTCCTGGCTGGAAAACGAGACAGAATGCCACCTTGGGATGAGAAATGTGTTTACACCGAGTGCTTGGCTGAGGCTTCAGTGCAGCAGGCTTATACACTGGGGCTTGAGCCTGGATACGCCCCGAGTGGAAAATACCCGGAAGGAAGCGGCTGCGGCTGCTCATCTTGCAGGAAAAGCAAAAGCCAGAGCGAGGGTGAGGGAGAGGCAGCTTTCTCTCTGCAACACAAGGCCTCTCAAAGCTCTGTCGAAAGAGGTTCATCTCACAGCTCGAGAGCAGTGAACAAGCTGTAGTCTATTACACATAAGCCCTTTGCAATGCCAGTTCCTATTTACGCCGGGAAATCTCGGGGGCTGGGAGGGATGACTAATGGACAATGACAAGAGAAATCAGTTTGCCTCACGGACCTGACAGATCAGACCAGAAAACATGCCCCAGAGATGACCGTGCTGCTGGGGAGTCCAGGTTGGACCCAGCGTGGTTGTTAGAATCCACCAGGGCCTAGCTGACCACAACGAGGCCCTTCTGGGTTTTAGGACATTGATCTGTAAATGCAACATCACTGATATAGAAGGTCAAACTTTATATAGGTCTTTAAACATTCCTCTTTTTCCTGGTAACAGCATGCTATTAAGGTTTGGGCTCACCCCTGTCTTCCTAGGGGTCCTCTCCCTGCCTTCCCTTTTCTTTTTTACTTTAACTCTTTTGCATGCCCCATCTTTGTCTAGCTCGCCTATTACTGCCTTAAACCCTTTTATTTTGCTAAAAATAAAAACAAACCAAACACACCCATTTCCACGTATGTCCCACTTACTCACAGGAAATGATCTCTAAAAGGAAGTGCACAGAGATCAGAGTTGCCTACTTACCTGGTAGCACAATGGGTATGTTAGGTTACTAACCAAAAAAGGCTGGCGGTTTGAATCCACCAGTGGCTCCACAGGGAAAGATCTGTTGACTTGCTTCTGTAAAGGCTGCAGCCGAGGAAACCCTCTGGGCAGCTCTGCCACATGGGGTTGCTATGAGTTGGAATCGACTAGGCAGCACCTAACAACAGTGTTTACAGAAGAAGCCTTGGGGGTGCAGCGATTAAATGCACGGCTGTTAAACAAAAAGGTTAGTGGTTCAAATCCACCACAGGAGGAAACTTGGCAATCTGTTTTTGTAAAACTCTTCTGAAAAAAAGGGTTTCTTTCTAGGAAGAAACCCGACCGGGCAGCCCTACTCTGTCCTAGGTCATGGTGAGTCAGAAGTGATTCACTGGCAATAGATTGCAGGAGAGAAGGGAGGGGATAGAAGACACAATGCTTAGAGGATCCTGCGCTTCCGTGAATGGTGATGCAAAGATTCAGCAACGGTTAATGATAAGGGTTAAACAACATGATGAATATACTTAATGTCACCAAAGCACACATGTGCAGACTGTAGAAACAGCAAATATCTTGTTACTTATATAACTCCTCGGAGGCTAGGATTTTGAAGCTCTGTCTCACTTATTTTGGACATGTGTCCAAGAGAGACTGGTCCTTGGAGAAGGACATCATGTTTGGAAAGGCAGAGAGACAGTGCAGGAGAGGAAGATCCCGAATGAGATAGATTGATACAGTAACTGGAGCAATGGGGGTAGGTGTGTCAAAGACAGTGGGACTAGCTTAGGACAGGGCAGGCTTCGGAGCTATTGCACACAGGCTCACAAAAAGTCGCAGGTGACTCGATGGCACATAACAACAACAATATATAACTCCTGCGCAAAACACACACTGAAGGCAGAGAGGGAAAAACAGAGAAGCAGTTTTAGTCTTATTTATTAAAGAGGCATGGACTTAGTTTTTCTTCTCCAGAGTTCAACTGAGGGCTTCTATGATGCCCTGAGGTTTGTCAGGAAATTCTTAGCCTTCATTAATCAAGATGCTCTTAGTCTTCAAGCCTTGAGCATTAGGCTCTGGCAGAACTATCTGTATGGGATCAAACTGACAACAGAACATAAAAGGACAGACAGGAAGCTTAGGGGACAGGGGGAGCCTGCACTACCGGAGGGGGAATTCTTTGGAAAAGGAAGCCGAGAACGGCTGCTCAACTTGAAGAATGTCATCGACGTTATGGAGAAAGGGCTGAATGGGTGTATGCTTTGCTATGTACATTTTCAACAATAATGAAAACAAATAGGAGTTAGGGAAAGCTGGAGGTAGAGAAGGATGCTTTTATTCTGACTAGGAGATGTGTAGGTAGGAAGTATCTCCCTGGGTGAGAACTGAGAACCAAACCCACCAGGCTGAAAGTCATTTCCTGACCTGGCAATTATCGCCATGAGTGATGTGCAGAACTGAGAGATTCTTCGTCTTCGAAAGCATTCAGGGCTTCGAACCAGCTCAAACCTATTCAGTAATTGCTGCTGTCAACAGGGGTCCTCTATTTGTGTTTGCAAAGCAACTAAATCTCTTTGAGTCGAATAGAAAATTAACGGCAGCGCCCCACTCCAAGGTGGCAGTCAACAGCACTGAATGGAATGTGTGTTATTCCTAGGACCCTGACAATGACCCAAGCTCCAGCGTCAGCTTCCAGAAACTTCCAGGAGGAAGGATGGTGCTAGGACTTTGATTATGGAATCATCCTGAACTGATTCAAAACCCTGCTTGACGCTGGGCCCAGTCCCATCTCTGTAGCTGAATGACCCACAGGCACACTCCCGGCCAACGGTTTATGTTTTCATATCTGAGTCTACCATACCTATGGAGAACGTGAGGCCTTTTCCTGCAAACTCTTTCCTCAGGTCTGCAACGAATCTCTCTCTGATATTCTCTTTCTGAGGAGGGGAAAAAGAAAAAAAAATTTAAAAAAACGAGAGATGGTACTGTCTATTGTTCTGTAGTTTAGAAAGCACACTCTGAAAGAACAAATCTCTCTTTCTCCCCTTGTCACTACTCGCCACCAAGCTGCACATCTTATCTCATTTCCATAAACCCAGCCACTCGACACAACGGACTCACTTTATCGAGTTCAAAGAACTCAACGCGTTCTTCTTGGGTGCAGCTTCGTCCAATGGGTGACACGTTCAGCATCCCGTTTCGGAACTCAATGAAAGTACCCCTGGGGAGGAAAAGAGGGCAGAGGTCCTGAGACACTTTATTCATTTTGGTGACAGTACAGAGGGGTAACAGGGCCGAAGGTTGGGTGAAGAAGGCAGAGTGATCAACAATTCACATGGCTGATGGGCCCATATAGCAGACATGAGCCAGAACGAGCTACTAAGCTTGGAAACGTGGTTGTCCCAAACTGAGAAAGGATTTCAAAAGACTTAGTAAGGAAAGAAGGTGCCGTGGTCATACAACCAGGAATTGCTTAGCTGTGAAACAAGGGGCTGGTGGTTCAATCCCACTGTGTTCTGAGAATGAAAGACTCTTATTGCCACTGAGTCAGAATCAACTCATTGCTGACCCACCAGCAGTTTTTCAGAGGCTACAGTCTGCATGGGAGGAGACTGCCCATCTTTGTCCCAGGGAGCAGCTGGTGGATTCAAATCACTTACTTTTGGATTGGCAGTGAAGCTCCCTAATGATTGGCAATTATAATTTATTAATCAATCAATCAATCAATCAATCAATCAATCAATGCTATAAAACTAAATGTCTATGAATGACTGCATGAAAAACCAATGTATAAACATTTATTCAAATAAAAATACATATTAATAAAAAACATAATTTAAAAAGGGGATTACCGCTTTAGACACTTTATGTGGCAGTTCTATTGTAAGCATCAACTGAATCATCATAACATAGTAATAGAAATATGAAAAACAGAGATGGAATCGTCTTTAAAAGTGTTTTATAATGTTGTTAAAGTGATTCTATTTGGCATATATTGAGTTAGAGGGACTATATCATTAAAATGAATCTCAGGGAGCTCTGGTGGCCTAGTGACAAGTTTCTACGCTGCAATCCCGAAGGCCCACGATTTGAATTCACAGATGCTCTGCTGGAGAAGGAGGGGCAATCTCCTCCTGTGCCAGTCAGATCTAACTCAATAATAAACAGCAAGGAAAAAAAAAACAATCTCATTTGTTACTTTTTGTTTTTAAAAATCTGGCCACCAAAACCTTAAATCCTGGCAGTGAAATGGTTAAGTGTTTGCCTGTTGACTCAAAGGTCAGTGACTCGAACCCACCAACTGCTCCAAGGAAGAGAAGCCCCGGCGACCCGCCCCGTTAAGATTCTAGCCACGGGAACCCTACGGGGCAGTCTCACACTGTCACACACGGTCAGATGTGGAACCCAGTGCCCAGCACAAGACAGAGAGGTAACTGTGTATGAGCCTCACGTTGTTACTGAGGGGTGGTGCAGCTCGTGAGCACTCTTTAGAATTAATAAAGAGCTTCAAAGATGAGCCCTGGCTCCACCCAGGCCTCAGAGGTCCCCTGGGGAGTTTGAAAATAGACGTGTCAGACACCTGTTTTGCTAACGAGCAGTGGCTGATTTCACTAAGCAAGGCTGCATGCAGAGGTGCTGAGAACTGTCTGCTGCACGTCAGTACCAACTGCAAACTCAATTTAACCACAGGCAGCCCGCGGCTGGTTTTGGTCAAAGAAAATGAGAACAGCCTACTGCTTTTTTTATTACTTCTAATGAAGACTTTTTAAAAAATGGAATTTTTTTCCCTACCATACTTCTAGTTTGATTCTCAAAACTGTCTCTAAAAATTTCTAAACGCATATAATTTACTAGCTGGATTTCCATCCTGACAAATGAAACGTCACTATTTTTGGTAAAATAATCCACTCTACGGGGTGCTCTGGGGCTGCGGGTGGTTCAGAGGGGATCCTTCTCGGGTTCTTGCCCGCTGTCATGCTGTTTCAGGTCAACTTCCACATTCAGATGGACTACTAGGAAGAAAGGCCTGGTGACTGATTTGTGAAAAACCTATGACTAATAAGGGTCTGCTCTCCACACAGTCATGGGGAGGGGATGGTGTAGAATTGTGCATGAAGTTGCCCAGAGTTGGGGGCTAACAGAAAGACAGCTAATAGCAGGCTCTCGGATGGACTGGGTAGCGTGTTGCACTGAATACACCAGCAGCAACTTGTTAGGCAGCTTGTTCCTGTGAAGACGACAGCCTCAGAAATGCGAGGGAAGGTTGCCGTGAGCCAGTTAATGTGGTGATAGTGAGTTTCCGAGGCTGAGCTCTCACTGCTGATGTCTGTGAGTGCTTGAAACGTTTCTATCATGCAGTCCTGGTTGGCAGCCACCAGCTGTTTGCTGTGCTGTACAGTGAGGGCACGTCGGGTAGAGAGGATGGGGACTGGCTTCAAGGCCAAGCTGCCTCACACTGGACCCTCTCCAGGCCCTGGCTTAGTCCTCCTACAGAGGGACTCACAGTACCTGCTCTGGTTACCAATGAAGGTTTATAAAAGACCAAAAGGAAAAAAAGTATCAAATTGTTATGTAAGAGTCCTCCGTAAACTGGGAAGGAGTAAATTCTTGTCAGATAAGATAAATGCAACTAAATCTCAACCACCTCAGTCCTTCTCCTGGCTGTGCCGAGCTTGCTGGGAAGGACGTGACACAGAAACACAGGAGCATGGACACCTGGCCAGACTTTACCTGCCCAGGCAGGTCCTGGAGCTGTACAGGCCCCACCCAGGCTCTGGGTCTTCCTTCCACACGTGCTGTGTATTCCTGGGGTGGCCCTGAGGTTGGAGATCCTTAACCCTCACAAGACAGCATGATTCTCCTCTAAGTCAAGGGCCTGCTCCCATTCAGATCCACCTGGCACGGAGGCAACCAGCTGTGTTTCAGCTAGCATTCTCTGAGATAAGTGCGGAAGCCAGTCAGCAAGCAAGCCCTCTTCTCTGGAGACTGGGCTGTCTACAGCCTCCCAGCCTGACCTATGTGGGGCACCCAGCTGGTGCTGACTCAAGTGTGAGGAGACGCCAATCATGGCGGGCTAAATGCTGCCCCTGAACTCAACAGGTACCTTGCACTGCTGTGGAGTTAAGAGCTGGGTGTGGCTGCCTCCTGCAGACATGGGACGGAGGAGAAGGGGAGAGCCGATGAACTCCTGTGAGGACGGGACCATGTCTTAGTCATTTTCCAAATCCTCCTTTAAAATATAGCCCCAAATAAAGACTCACCTGGACCACTTCAATGTGTAGTTCAAATGTGTACTTTATGGTATGTAAAACAATGTATATGAACTTTGTAAATAAACGAGAAAAAAAAATTAAAAAAATGTGTACTTCAGCATGTTACAGGGAATCTCTAACATATTTAAAAGTAAACTGAAAAACCCCAAAACTTAAACTCACTATTGGTTCTGACTCATAACAGCCCCCAGGGGGGTTCCTAGGTTGTAAATCCTGAATGGAGGGGACAGCCTACCCTTCTCCCTCAGAGCTGCTGGTGCATTCGAACCATCCAAGACTCATGGCCTTTGGTCAGCAGGGTAACTCCCTACCATCAAAATTCCCACGTAAAAGGAAGAGGATAATGAGTGTCGTTATGAATTGGCTTGTTCCCCTAAACATGTGCTGGGATCCTAAGTTTTCCACCTGTGGATAAGACCCTGATTGGAAATGGGGTCTTTTGGTTATGTGAGTGAGGCCACTGCAGTGTAGGGTAGGTCCCAGTGTTCTCCTCTTGGCCTGTGACCCCTTAACCATCCGAAGAAGAACTGCATTTTAAGTAGTGATTGAACTGTGCTTCAGGCTTCACGTGGCATCACAGATCGGCAGACTTGTCATGACACTTGTCTGTAACACTAGTCTACCTAATGGACTCCAGTAGAGTGTCATTATAACCTTTATATGTACCAAGATACCAAAAAAATTGATGTGACTGGCTTTGTCGCTGTGGTCTGAAAGCAAACCCACAGCACCCAAAGCCTGCCTGTCCCCACATGCAGGACAGAATGAAAATAGGACCAAACCACCAAATGGCTTTCCTCTTTGCTCAAAGCACACCTACCTCTTCTTTGGGAGTTTAATCTTTGAGATGTAGCTCAGGCAGTAGTTGATGACATCCTGGATAAGGGCCTCACCCAAGTGACCTTGAATATTCTAGAAAAAGAAAACACTGGTGTTAAGTTGGCTCAGCAGGAGGCTTTTCCAGCTGAGAACCCAGGGCTTCAGCCACCTTTGTTTGAAGGTTACGAGGCTGAAGATGGCAGCAGAAGTACTGCACCACCTTGGGTTTTCTCCTCTCCTCATCCCCTCGGGTGGAAACATTAGGCAAACTGGAAAGGGCTGTAGTCAAAAGCATTTTCTGCTTCATTACTCCAGGTTTTTGTATCCATTATCTTTCCCATGCTTCCTGGAAAGCCCAGGGGTTTATCTCTGCTGTCTTTATTCAATTAAAATATCTACAGACATTCACAGAAAATGTTCTTGTTCTACTTCAGCTTTCTCTTGTCTGGATAGATTGATGTAACCCATGAATGTATTTTTTACGTGTAAGACACCCCATGTAAATAACACACACATGCACAGAAGAGTGGAAGAGGTGGGGTGGGGCCCAACACATTAACAAGGAGGGGATTTCAGTAAAAAAAAAATCCACCATTTAACATGTATATTTATCTTGGTAAAAATATGGTACTAACAAAAGCTATAAAAACCACATAATAATCCATTCATTGCTATCGACTGAGTCCAGCTCATAATGACCCTAAATGACAGAGAAGAACTGTTCCAGAGAGTTCACAGGGGCAGACTGCTACATCGTTCTCCTGCACAGGGGCTGGTGGGTTAAAGCCACGGAGCTTCTGGATAGCAGTCGAATGCTTCAACCATCATGACACCAGGGCGCCTCAATCTATATCCTCTATATACACGTGGCTGCTGAGGTGGTTGGGTGCTGTCAAGTAACCGCGGCTTGCAGGGGCCCATGTGACAGAGCAGAAGTGCCCCACAGCATTTTCCAGGCTGTAATAGCTTTCACTGTGTTTTAAGTGAAGTTTTCAGAATGGACTGGTAATAGCCTCCTACACAGTATCAGTTCCCTTCCCACTCACTCTATTTGTTGTTTCTTTTCATCCTTCTACCCTCTCCTTTCCTGCCTTCTGAGCTGTATCCCTGGGCAAAAATTGCCCTTTAGGGCTTGCCTGGTTGCTTTTTCTAGGGACTCAGCAGCTTTTCTGGTAACCAAAACCTGCATGCCATTCTGGTGGGTCAAATCTACCAGGTGCTCTGTGGAAGACAGGTGGGCAATTCTCCTGTTAAAGATTTCCAGCTTTGGAAACCCGGTAGACGGCTACTATAAGTTGTAATAGATTTGATGGCACTGAGTTTGCATTTTGAGTACTGAATCTCAATGGACACTGCCCGACACATCTTTCTCCTAAGGAGAAACTGAGCTGTCCACCTTTTGGCTTGCAGATGAGTGCTTAACCTTTGAGTCATCACTGCTCATTTGTTAAAAATGTTTCTAGCAGGCAATGGAAAAATTTGGAAATGAGAAGTAGTGAAGGTTGCATAGTACAATTAAACAGAATGTCACTGAATAGTATGTGTGAAAATTGTTGCAAATATTTTGTTACACTGTCTATACTATTCTACCATATACAGAAATCTTATTTCAAATATCCTTATATGAAAATGATAAGTATAAGCTATAAATACTGGTCTTTCCATGGTCTTCATTGTGGACCCATGAAGTATAAGTAAAATAAAAATCTCAAGGGCACAGTGAATGGACCTGGTGGATTGTAGTTTCTACTATCCTGGGATCAGAAGAACTAGATGGTGCCCAGTTCCCATGATTGACTGGAAAAAGCAGCACAAAAGAAGGCAGAGTGGGAGAAAAATGTGCAACAAAATTCAAAATTGTAAAAAAAAGACCAGACTCATTGCTAACAGAACTGGTGGGAACCCAAGACTATGGTCCTTACACATCCTTCAAACCTGGAACCAAACCCACTCTGATGGATCAGCTTAAGGCAGCCAGTCAGGCTTCAAAAGTTAACAAGAACATAGTGAGGACTGTACTCCACAACACGATCAACATGAGGTCCAAACGGCAGCATCTGCTCAAAGCAAAGCTCAGAAGGCAGGAAGGGGCAGGGAAGGAGGGGAATGGAAATGGGAAACACACAGAAGAAGTGGAATAGTGCTGTGTTCAGTCAGGGAACAGAAGTGTGTAACTCTTTGGGTGGAAAGTTACTCTGTAAACTTTCACTCAAACCACAATACAATGTTAAAAGCTAACAATATGGAATGGGTAGTGGGCATATGATTCAAAATGCAATACAGAAAAGAGCATGTACAGTAAAGGGGTTCATTCAGCCCTGCTCCCTAGCTCCCCAAGTCGCATTCCACATTCCAGAGCTTCCTAGGAAGCATTTTCATAGTCGTGACCCTCGAGACCTACCTGTTTACACAAGAGTTTCCCATCTTTGTATGCTACCAAGCCATTTTCTGGAAACACATAATCATATTTTTCAACCACTACAACCGAAACAAAAGAAGACTTTAGGATGCAAGAATTGAAACCTTTGCTGCTGTTTCTTGAATTACACATCCTCCACAAAATAGCTAAACTCAAGTAAGGACTATATATTTAAAAAAAAAAATAACATCTCAGCTTTACAAACCGGGAAACTGAAAGAGTGCACCTTTGATGTGAAATGTAAAGGAAGATTTCTGGTTGGGAATGGGTTATTTGGGCCTCCCTGTTTGTAAGGGCAGATGCTTTGAGTAAACGCCAGACTCGACCCTGGATCAGAACATCCAGTAACTTTGTTATAAATGAGCTGGTTTTTTTTTTCCTTTAAAGCTCCATAGATAATTCTTTCATCAGCCAGATTTGGAAATCATCCATATCAACTCTTAATGGAGGTTTTCTCAAATGTGGAGTACTTGTTAAAATGTAGGCTCCTACGCCCTGGATGGCATCCTAGTGGCCTACGTGGGTGGAAAGTCCCAGGAAAGGATGACACAGGTGGGTCTAGAACTTTCTTAACAGGTGGGTCTGTAACTTTCTTAAAGTTTGAGAAGCTTTCAATTCTATCGTTAACACTCTGAAATGTGCAGGTTGTCCTACACCAACGCACACCTCCTTTGGACAGCTGGTTGAACACACAAATGTCAAGGCAATCGTGCCCAAGCAACAGGATTTCCGAGGCCACACACTGCTTCTAATGCTTCTAGGCAGAGCACCTGGAGGAAAATTAAGTCTAAGTGGAGTAGGGCGTTTTATTACCTTTTCAGCAACTGTGATCAATACATAAGGCATACAGGGATTTGGATGGTGAAGTTCTACAGGGAGAGGTGTGGCTGTCAACTGGTGCCAAGTATGGTCTTCATTTGGAAAAGCAGCTGGGAGATGCTGCTAAATGAATGTTTTACAGTGCACAGCATGGCCTCCACAGTAGATTATCTGCCTCAAAATGCTAAATTATTGAGAAGTTCTGGCGCAAGAGCCTTAAATCCATCCACTTCTCCATTCCTATTTCTTCTAGGCTGGGCACTCTGGGCATCTTGGGGCGAATGAGACAAGGGATCCACAATCCTGGTTCTCAGGCGGGACCTACAGGCAGACTGGCTCCAATAATCACTGACTGCTAGTTCCGTCCATTAGAATCACTTAGAGGGTACTTGTTAAAATACAGAGCCCCAGGTCTTAGAAGAACCATGTTAAAATCTCTAGCCAAAAGGCCAGCAAGAACTGACCACTTCCAGGGCCTTGCACTGAGAGTTCTGGCTCAGTAATCAGGAGAGGTGCCTGAGCGACTCATGGGTAGGGGACCCTAGAACCATTGTGTAAACACAGGGAGTACCCAGACCTGAAGGGCACCCTGACACCTGAGGGAGTGGGCCATTCAGGACAGCTGTGTGGCTTGATAGGCTGCAAGCAGCAAAAAGCATCCCGAGTACTGAGTTTTGTGTACAAAGCCACCGATGATCCCTTCTCCAGGTGACTGTACCTGAGCTCCAGAGCTCTAGAACTCCAGATTTAGTCACAGGGCTAAAAGCAAAGGGAACGTGAAGGTGGAGAACATGCTTCCTCCAGAAGCTGGCCCCTCAGCCGGGCCTTGGGGCTGCTTATGTCATCCAGCAGCACCAACAGCCTCCTGGGACGTTAATCTTTTATTACTGTAATTAGCAGGAGAGAGCTTACCGTCACTTCCCAGCTGCTCCTGCACTTTTTCAAAGTCCGACCCGCCTACCACTCCAATTTTGATCTTCTGCCTCAATTTTTGCAGAAAGTCATCCATTTCTTTGGTAATTTTCTATATTTCAGGAGAGAAAAGACAAGTCATGAGCTTTCACACATGCCATTACAGGTACTAGCTGTAGTAACTCTGGAGTGGAGTCCCCCCGGATGGTGAGAATGGTTAAGCACTCAACTAGTAGTTGAATAGGCTGGAAGTTTGAGGCCCCACAGAGGCACTTTGAAAGACATCTGCTTTTGAAAGATCAGAGTCTTAAAACCCTACGGAGCAGTTCTACTCTCTGCCCAATGAAGTCATTGTCATAAGGTGGAAATGATACCATGGCAAGTAACAATTCTGGGACCCTCTATCTTTACAAGAGTAAACGTATTAATTTTCACTAATTTACCAAATTTTAAAGACACAAATAACCTATTAACAGCAGTGGTGCATCATTTCTACTATTTTCCTCTGCATTTTACAGACCTATCTATTAAATAAATAGTATTTTTTTAAAAACATCAGAGTTATAATTAAAACCCCCTAACACGTGTAGCATGTCAGGCTGCTAACAGGAAGGTGAGTGTGTGGTGGTTCGAATCCACCAGGTGCTTGTTGGAGAAAAGATGGGCGGTTTCTGCCTGTTACGATTTGCAACCATGGAAACCCAATAGAGGGTTGCTAGGAAACAGAAGTGACTTGTGTGTTTGAAGAGTGTTTTTAAATGCATAAAAGATCACTAGAGGGTAGTGTTGGTGCTTCTGTTAGGTACTTCTGACTCATGGCACGTGCTTGATCCCACACCATTCCCACATTTCATTTCTCCTTCAGCCCACTGGTGCAGCCACTCCATTAATCCACCTAGTCCAGAGTCTTTCTCTTTTCCTCCGACTCTCTATTTTAACTGAGTTTGATGTCTCTCTCCAGGGATTGGCCGCTCCTGATAACATGTCCACAGTGTATGAGACAAAGTCTCACCACTCTGGTTTCCAAGGAACATTCTGGCTGCAACTCTTCAAAAAACATTTGTTTGTTCTTTGGATAATCCACAGAGTATCTGCTATTCTTTGCCAACAGTATGATTCAAAGGCATCAATTATTTACCACCATGCAACAGACTGACAGACAAGTGGGAGACCAGACTATTTAGTCTCTTGTAAAAGAAAGGTTCTTATCTATAAACAACAATTCCAAGGGCACACGTCCATTCCGAATTCCAAACTGTGTGCCTGTTCAAAAGATATTACAAACCAAGACAAACATTCTCATACTAAGACAAATCATAACTTCTAGAAAATCTTTACTGCCTTACTACTTCAGCAATTTGTATACTCACCATGAAATATCCTTACAAATAAAGCAACTAGAAATGCAAACCAAAACCATTTTATGCAGCCTCAATTGTATAACACAAACACCTGAATTTAAATCCTTTTTTTTTAAAGGTACAAATTCAAGAACATTTACTTGCTTTTTCTCAATGTTTTTGCATTCTAATTTTATTTTGAAAAAATTAATTGGTGGAAATGTTAGAAGAATTTCTCCTCATTGGAATGAAATCCTTTTTTTTTAAAAAAAAACACCACCACCCAACTTTTAAAAAAATCCAAGTAATATACACATCATAAATAAAAGATATTTGTACAGAAGGGCTTATAGTGGAGTGCAACTTTTCTACGTTTTGTTGTTGTTAGTTGCCATCGAGTTGAGTATAACTCACAGTAACACTATAACAGTGGACCGGAATCCTGTCCTATCCTGCACCATCCTCACACTTCCTGACACAGTAGAGCCCACGGCAGTAGTCACTGTGTCAATACACCTGATTGAGGGTCTTCCTCTCCTTTGCCGACCCTCCACCCTTCCCAGAATCATGTCCCTCTCCAAGAAACAGCCCCTCCTAGCAACATGACCAAAGTATGTGAAGTGAAGCCTCATCATTCTTGCTTCCAAAGAGCACTCCGGCTGCACTTTCTCTGAGACATATTTGTTTGTTCTTTGGCCATCTGTGGGATACTCAGTGCTCTTCTCCAACAACGCATTTCCACGTTTTACTTCAGTGGAACTTCGACCGACTAAACATCTAGGTATATTAGAGATGATGCGGATGGCACCGGATGAGCAAGGTTGAGATCTGCTGTTCACAGGGTCACTCTGAATTGCAGTTGACTTGATGGCAGCTAACAACAAACAACAAGTGTCTAGGGAGCTCTGGTAGCAGAGTCTGGGGTGCTTACCGCTAACCAAAAGCGACATCTCTGGTGGACTGAATTGAATCGAGGGAGAAAGGGCAGTCTCAGAGCCCCAAAGGAGGGCTGCTGGGAGTCAGTGCCAACTGGAGGCAGCGAGGAGGAGAGAGTAGCTAGAGCTGCACGTGTGGTTCCCATGCTCCCTGCCACCTGGCTGATTTCACCTCACAGTGACTCCAGGTGACAGAGCAGAACTGGCTTATAGGGTTTCCTAATGGGAACAGAGAGATCTTCTCCCACGGAGCCCAGGGATGGGTCCAAACAGCCTCTTGGCTAACAGCGAGGTGCTTAACTGCTGCACCACCAGCCCCAGTGAATCAGAAAGGACTGAGCGGCTAAGTTTTCCCAAGAAATTATTCAGACTTGCCATCAGAATGGGAAGAAGGGGAAGTCTCTTAAAAATACAAAATTCCCAACAAGTCAAAACAAACAAAACCCCCACTAATGTTGTCCTCAAACAGCAAGAAGCCTGCCTGAACAATGATTAAGGATGATAGAAGAACTGATGCCTTTGAGCTGTGGTGCTGGAGAAGAGTAATGAATATACCATGGGCGGCTAAGAGAACAAACAGGTCTGTCCTGGAGGGTGAAACCAGGCTGATGCTTGGAGGCGAGGATTCTGAAGCTCCATATGACATATTTTGGGGATGCTGCAAAGAGGGACCAGGCCTTGGAGAGGGACGTCATGCTTGGGAGGTGGAGGGACAGCACAGGAGAGGAAGACCATGGATGAGATGGATTGACTCAGTGACTGGGGTCATAGGGGGGTAGGTGTGTGAGAGACAATGAGGTTGGTTCAAGATACAGCAGGGTTCAGAGCTGTTGTTCATATAGGGTCGCGATGAGTCAAAAGCAACTGGATGGCACATAACAACAACAAAAATCTCTGGTACTTACTGACGAGCTGCGTGTGTGGCCAGCCACCATACATTAAAATTAGCCAACTGCTAATTTAAAAGGTGGTGGTTTAAAAAAAAAAAGGTGGTGGTTTGAAGCAGTGGTTTCCAGGGAGAAAGATGTCGCAGTCTCTTTCTGTAAGGATCAGCCTTCGAAACCCTGTGAGGCAGCTCTATCCTGAGCTACAGGATCGCCGTGAGCCACAGTCGACTTGAGCATCATAAAGCGGGTTTTTAATTTGGTTGAGGGGATGACTGAGGAGATGTGACTCTTTGGTCCATTGCCTGTTTCTGTATATAACTATTACTGGAATGCAGGCAGCACTGGAATACATAGTTGTGAAAAGAGATCATATGGCCTATGGTTTCAAGTATTTACTATCTGGGCTCCTGCAGGAAAAAATGAACTGAGAGCCCTGGGCTAAGGTATCAGATAAAATTACGGGATTAGAGACGATTTTCTCAGGTGTAACAATGGCTGTGGCTTTGGAGAATGATGCCCTTGCTCTTCAGAGATGTCTGCTGAGGGATTCAGGGGTGAAGCTCCGTGGTGGTAGGGGCTTAGAAAACAGCTCAGCAAAGGACACATGACAGTGAGGGAGCGAGAAAGTTCACATGACAAAAATGTCAACCACTGCCGTATCTAAGTGGTGATGTGAGTGTTCTGTGCACTATTTTTTTTCAACAATCATGCAAATGAGACATTTGGCAGGCTGGAAGAATCAGAGAAACCACATAACCTTCGCTTATGTTGCCGTTCTTTCTGCTAATTATCCCTGTAACTCTGGTTGCCTAGTGGTAAGAAATTGTGCCGTACTGCCAAAGGCATGTGGTTCGAGGTCACCTGCTGATCTGCAGGAGAAGGACGAGCAATCTCCTCCAATGCGATTCCCTGCCTCTGAAAACCCACTGGAGGGTCAGCTGTGGGTCGGTTCTGCCAACAGCAACAACATGACCAACCATCTCTATAAGAAGTGGCGTTTCCCTGCAAAGGACTCAGTACAATGGAAATCCTGAGTAACAAGGACCTGGACCCGGGGGTCCATTCTAATTAGCTTTTGTCTTTCTTAATGTCAATCAATTTCAGTAACTTCAAAGTAAAAACTCACTACTGTTGAGCCAGTTTCAATTCACAGTGTCACTCCACTGAGGTTCTGAGGCTGTAAATGGAAATGGGAGGTAGGCTGCCCATCTTTCTCCAGTGTAACCACTGGAAGATTTGAAGTATTTGAGATGCGCGGCCTCTGGGTCAGCAGAGCAAGCGGCTGAGGGCAATGCCACCAGCACTCCCTAACTACAAGAGAGCCCATTATTCTGGGTCAGGATTTGTGTTATCAATGTTTGCCAATACAAATAGTGAGGATGAGAAGAGCGGCATAATGAGTATTTCTAATTTTTAACCTAGAACGCCCAACACAGAAATCATCATCCTTTAAAAGACTTCCCCCACAGTATAAAAATAATTTAAATTCACTTTATAGAACACCCCAACTAAATTCTGTCATTGAGTCGATTCCAAATTACAGATACCAGGTAAGACAGAGCAGAACTGATAGGGCATTAGGGCTCACCTTATAGGACGTGAACTTGCAGACCCTCCTAGTACCCTGTTACTGCCTCAAACTGCTCACCATTAACTTCTGGTGGTTGCTAACCCTCCCCTGCCATAAGGCATTCTCTATATAGATTAACTTCCTTCAAACCCTGCTTGAAGTGAAACCAGCCTGAGCCAGTTCCTGGAGCATGTGCAGCAACAGGACTTTTGAACCAGAGCTGACTTTCCCAAGCAAGAAGCAAAGCCACCTAGTAGACATGGGAATCGAACCAGAGGACCTCGTTTCACAGTGCATGTGAACTATGCCATAATAAGTGAGGTCTCTTGACCCAGAAGCCTCTGTAACAGAGTACACCCTGGAGGACCAGCTGTGTGCACACCTAATTATCATAACCCCACCAATACAGACCACTTCTTAGAATTCTCTATCTTTTCTCATGAATTAACACGAAACTCCTTCCCACCTAAAATCTTTACAAGTCCGTCAATTCTTGTTCAATGAATCAGAGGCTAACGTTGCTTCAGCCCTCCAAGTCTCCCTCTGCAATAATAAACTCTCCCTAATAAACTTTCCATGGCTGCATGGGAAAGCCTGGTTCCTGGTTTCACTATCGATACTTAACAGGAGAAAGAACCCAAATGGAAGGGGCACGCAGGCCACAGGTTTCGATGGCTGTAATCTCTATGTCAGGTAGCCAGTTAGAAATGGAACACGTAAGCAGTCCTCATTCAGACTGACCTAAGACCTTCCTGTCTACGCCGAAGGCAGCTGGCCCCAAAACTCAGATCGAACCACCTGCATCATGCCGGTGGTTTTGTATTAACTAAAGTCGTAATTTTCCTCTCTTGAAGGGGGAACATCGTATAGAGAAATGGCATGCACAGATGGCTTGATCCCTTTTAATTGGAAGAAAGAATTGTAATCAACTGTCAAGAACAACATAAAGAGCTGTTCTTATGGAACAAGGCTGTAAGAAAGGTGGGCTTGATCGCACTACCCTTCTGTGGGATGGATGGTATGATCTCATCATAGCTCCTCTGTTTCAAACACTTCCCTATCTACCTAACTTTGCCATAATACACTACTTTTTAACTCCTTGTTACTTGGCTGATGGTCTCTCATTGGTTCCTGGTGACTCTGGAGCCCAGAAAGTAACTATTTACAAAGCAGAGTGCTTCACCCCTCACCCAAGGAATGACTGGTGGGGTTTTAGAATTTTCTAGTTAACAGCCAAATTCTTTAACTACTGCACCACCAGAGCGCCTTAAGATGAAGAGCGTCATGTTTCAAACAAAGAGAGATGCGTGGCCTCTGGGTTAGCAGCACAAATCCTGAGGAACTAGGCCATCAGACTGGCCTATTTCATGTACAGCTCTCCTGTTTCTGGGAATCCTAAAACAGCATACCTAGAAACTGACAAGAGCTTCACCTTAGCACGGTGGCAGGAAACAGCAAAAAATGATACCCTGAGGCCCAGGGACTGACCTGGTCTACTGGGAACTTGAGAATGCCATGGTTTTACTGGTTCTTAGCTTCCATATACCTAAGTGGGATTAACAATGTTCCACTTGGGGTTCCGCTTGGGACAAAGGAGGAAGAAAGGGTTGAACGGATCTAATGATGTAGTATACACCTGGGAAATGTAAACTCTAGGCCAGGGGTGGACAAACTGTAGTCCACCAGCCAAAATGAGTAGCTAGTTTAAAAAGTTTAAAAGCTAGTTTATTAAGTTTAAAAGGAACTAAGAGTTGAGTAGGAGTTACTACAGGCCCACAAAAATGAAAATTTATTATATGGCCCTTAACAAACCAAAAAAGCGATCTCTAGTGGCCCAGTGGGTAGTGGGTTGCACTGCCAACCCAAAGCGGGGAGGTTAGAAACCACAAGCTGCTTTGGAGGGGAAGACTGGCAGAGGCAAAGACAAGTATTTTAGTTAACATTACCATTCTCAGGAAAGGACTAAAATATAGCAACAATTTCTGAGGACGGCACAAGGTGATGCAGTGTTTTGTTTTGTTACACACAGGTTCAATATTGGAACCATCTCCACTGCAAGTCAACTGCTGGCTCAGAGAAGTTAAGTGACTTGCTCAAGGTCACACAGCTGTCAAGAAGTGAAACCAATAGGAAACTAGAAGTCATCAGGGGACCACACCCCTCAGCCTCTCCTGTTAGTTGCTTCAAGGCCATAAACTGTTAACTCATCCTGTTTGCTGACCTTATCATATGATAAAATTCCTGGTTTCTGCCTCAAGATATCAGAGTTCCTTATGAGTAGTAATCAGGGTTAGGGTTAGACTAGATGGCATCTAAAAACAGCAGCATGGAAACCAGGGCCAAGAGCGAATCAGCCCAAGTTGAGGAGGCTTTCAAAGCATGCTCTCTCTGATGCTCTACTTACAACCAAGAGTTAACCCTCACCTAGATTTACATGATGAGCTGAGATTCAAACCACTGAGTCAGCACCCAGTTACCATAATCATCCTTGCCCCATCCCCACCTCCCCTTCACCCCCATAGGCCAGTTCTGAGACTCTGTCTCCTTCCAGAAATAAACATGATGTACTTTTTCTGCTAATAGGCTAGTTCCCTGAAAATCTTATCTCCTCTCAGTTTTTGAAAAATTCTGTCCTCTCCTTTGTTTGGAGAGACATGTGTGCACTGGAAAGATGCTGTATGTCTTCCCTTTTGCAAATGCTATCTCTGGTGGTTTAGTGGCAAGCAGTTGTGCTGCTAAGCCAAGGGCCCTGGGTTCAAATATATCAGTTGCTCCCTGGGAGAAAGATGGGAAATCTCCCATGCGATTTACTGTGTCTGAAAAATGGCTGGAGGGTCAGCTATGAGTCAGTTCTGACTTGACACCACATTAACACTATCTCTCATTAGTAAATCTGTTACTTGTATTTACTTTGATTTCTCACTCTGGCATTCTGGTGAGTAACACAGCTACAACACAAAGACTCAGCTGTTGTTGTTATGTGCCGTTGAGTTGCTTGTGACTCATAGCGACCCTATGTACAACAGCCCTAAACACTGCTCTGTCCTGTGTCAATCTCACTGTCTCAGACACACCCACCCCATTACCCTCGTCACTGAATCAATCCACCTCATAGAGGGTCTTCCCCTCCTGTTCTGTCCTTCCATGCCGTCCCTCTCCAAGAACCGACCCTCCTGCAACATGTCCAAAGTATGTCAGACGAAGCCTCAGAATCATTGCCTCCAAGGAGCAGCCAGGTTTAACCCTCTTCAGGCTGAACCTGTTCGGTTTCTTAACAGTTCATGGTACATTCAATACTCTTCTCTAGCACCACACCTCAAAGGCATCAATTCTCCCTAGTCATTGTCCAGCTCTCTGATGCATAGCAAATGATTGCAAAGACCATGGCCTCTCTCAGGTGCACCTTAGTCTCCAGGGTGCCACCATTGCTCTTCAGTACTTTGCAGTGGTCCCTAGCAACAGACTTTCCCATCACAGTACGCCTTTTAATTTCCTGGCTGCGGATGCCGAGAGTGTTGATTGTGGAGCCAAGCAAATTAAAGCTGTGAACAATCTCAATCTCTTCACCATCCATCCTGATGCTGCCAACTTGCCCAGTGGTGAGAATCTTTATCTTCTTAATATTGAGCCTCAAGCCATAGGAATCAGATTGATTACATCTGTGGAAAGAATTGCTGGAGAAGTTCAGTATCAGCTGTGAAAAACTAGGCCAGACCACCAACTACTCATGCAAGTTCAAGCTGAAGCTAAGGAAAATTAAAACAAATCCACGGGAACCAAAATATGACCTTGAGTCTACCTATCCCACCTGAATTTCAGAACCATCTCAGGAACAGGTTTGAGGCCGTGAACACCAATGAGCTAAGACCGGATGAGTTGTGGGAGGATGTCAAGAGAATCATCCAGGAAGAGTGCAAACGGTCATTGCAAAGACAGAAGAGGAAGAAAAGACCAAAATGGATATCAGAAGAGACTCTGAATATTGCACTAGAGCACAGAGAAGCCAAAGCAGAAGGAAGAATTCAAGACACCAAAGAGCTGAACGGAAGATTTCAAAAGGCAGCGCGGGAAGGCAAAGTAGAATATTACAATGAAATGTGCAAGGAGCTGGAGTCAGAAAATCAAAAGGGCCGAACTCGCTCAGCTTTTCTTTTTTTTTTTCTTTTTAAATTTTTATTTATTTTTTTTGGGGGGATTCCATTCATTCATTGTTGCACCCTTCTCCCCGCACAAACCCCTCCCCCCTCCCCCCATTTCAGCTTTTCTTAAGATCAAGGAACTGAAGAACAAATTCGAACTGAAGAGACTCAAACAGGTATATTTAATTCAGATACTTATATGCATAAGATAAAGCATTGATCACGGGTGACAAAAGGAGAGCAAATAACTAGGGAGAAGGCCTAAACTGGGTTAAATTCAAGCCCACCTCTCCCTAGACTAGTTGGGACAGTCCAGAACTGCAATTCCCAACCTAGCACACGTCTGCATCCCTCAGGGGTTTTCGGTCCCCTCCCATCTCTCCAAGCATCCTGAAGACTTAAGGAGCTAGTCAGACCTTCCTTTGCATCTCTCCAGACAATCAGAATACAGTCCCCCACCGGAGTACGTCGGTCCCCATTAACCAGCCGTCAGTGGCCCTTATCCGCCCCTCGGCGACCACCCGGAGTGGTAGTTACCCCAGAAATGATGGGTTAACTACTTATCTAACCATCACCTAACTATCGAAGGGCTCCACACCGCTTGCCGTCTGCCCACTGGGTACCGCCTACCTGTCGTGGGGCCGTCAGAGTCCCATCTACGTCGAAGAGACACAGAACTGGACCGGAGACCGCCATGGCCCCAGCACCGTTCATACCTAACTCGACTCGGTGGCACCCGGAACTCAGCCGGAACTTCCTGGTTGGGCATTCGCAGCAGGGCAGGCCGGGACGAGGAGAATCGGCTCCCACAATGCAGCAGTCACGAGTTCTACACTACAACTCCTAGAATGCAACGCGGCTCTGCGAGCATGCGCCGTAAGAGGTTCAGGAACAGGCGGGATTAACTTCCGGCAGCGGGCAGTAGGAACATGGTAAGCAAGTGGGTGACGGGTATTGAGGGTGGTGGCGTATTTTCGGGGTCTGTGTTAGAGTCTGAGACAGTCATGAAGGATTGGGTTTCAGAGACCCAGAGTTCGCAGTAGGAAACTCCGCCTGGGTTACACTTTCCTCTTCTCACTGAGTCTTGAAGTCACGTGGACTAGTGAATGGGATCTTCCCACCCATCTAACACTTTTGAAAACTTTCAAATCGTAGTCTGATTCGGTATCATTCATTCATATTTGAAAGACGAGGATATAGGCTCAGAGACAGTGAGTGACTTGCCCAAGGACACACAGCTAATGAATAACCATTGAGGTCGGGATTGGAACAAGTCATAGTTATTTCCACTGCACAAGCGTTGTAGAACTGTGTCCTTGAGCTAGAATCGGTTCTGATTCATAGTGACTCCACATGCAACGCTACGTGGGCCAGCGCCGTCCTCACGATCGTTGTGCTGTGTTGAGTTCATTGTTGTAGTCACTGTCAATGTACCTCTCTCAGTCTATCTCAGTTTTCTACCTTGACCAAGGAGCTGGTCCCTCTTGATAACATGTCCGAGGTACATGAGACAGTCACCATCGTTGTTTTTAAGGAGCATTCTGGCTGTACTTCCAGGGTGGATTTGTTCATTCTTCTATCAATCCATCATAGAAGTGTGCACTAGATAAAGTCTTTGTGCCATGTAGTCAGGCCTCCTCCTGTCTTATTCCTCTGTTGTTTCCTCTCCTCTGAACTAGGCTAAGAAAAACTAGCAGTTCCCTCTGGCATCCACTTTGCCCCCATCCTGACGATACTGACAGGTTATAGTGCTAACTCTTGGATTTGGTGCACTAGTTCTCCACTAGGACCCTGATGACTTAGGTTCTTGCTTAGAGAAATGTTTGCATCATCTGTGGACCTGATACCCAGCTGAGAGTTTGTCCTCCCTGATTTATTTTTGTTGAATAAATGAAGGCTGCACCTTTTTTTTTGTACCTTTAGGACAGTTTAAGGGTTAGCCTTAACTCCACTTAGACTTGCTGTGTGTCCTTGAACAAACATCTTACCCTCTCTGGGCTTAGTTACCTCAGTGGTAAAGAGGAAATAACGGTAACTATGTCATAGCTGTCATGCAGGTCTGGCTTTCCCTCTGTCTCTGGTGAGACTGGTGGCCTCTCAGAATCGTTGGGAGTCTTCGTGGGACCTGCTTTGCAAATGTTTGGTGATTGGTATAGTTGAGCTCTATGAGAGAAACAGCTTCTCTCTCCCTTCCAGGCTGCCCTCCTCCGAGCTGTGCCGCGGTGGCGGGGTCCGACCACCTGGGGAAGGCCTCTCCCTGGGCTGTGGTGCTGCAGTGAGATGGAGCCCAGGAGATGGGTGGGAAGCAGGCTGCCCACCTTGAAGGAGACACCATCAGGGACAGAGACAGAGAAATTCCACACCATTTACCGATTCAACGCCATCAGAGCCTTAGGGTACCTGTCTCGGCTGAAGGTGGCACAGACAGCTCTGACTGTGGTGGTCCTGCCACCAGCCTTCTACTGGTACTCTCAGGGCGCCATGGCCCTCGACTCCCTGTGCCTTGGGGGTGCGACAGCTGGGTTCGCACTGGCCATGCTGTGCTGGATGAGCCACTTCTTCCGGAGGCTGGTGGGCATCCTGTACGTGAACGAGGCAGGCACTGTGCTGCGGGTCGCCCACTTGACCTTCTGGGGCTGGCGGCAAGACACCTACTGCCCGGTGACTGATGTGATCCCGCTCACAGACACCCCCGAACAGCCCCAGGATCTGTTCATCCGTATCCGTCAGTACAGTGGAAAGCAGACCTTCTACCTCACTCTGCGTTACGGACACATCCTGGATAGAGACCGATTCTCGAAGGTGTTTGGGATGCTGGGCAGGCATCCCAAGTAAACTATTGGCAGCTGGGCCAGCAGGTAGTCCTGAGCCACCTGATCCCTAATAAGAAGGCTGTGGGTCAGATGAGGCTGAGGAAGAGAAGCAGGCAGCTGGAGACTGCCTGGAACTTTATGTCGGCACCACTTTTGCAGAGCAGAACTCTATTGGGGTGAGCCTCTGTTGAGAGGCTGCAGCCTCTCAGAAGCAGTTCAGTTGGCCTTATGGCCGCTGGGGGCTGGAATTGACTTTACAACAACTTGGAAACTTGTCTTATGGGATGAAGCCATTCATGGGGCAAAGGTTACTAACCAGGCTTGGTGGAAAGCCCCTCTGCAAAGTCTCACTGCACTTTTGTGCGACATTCAGTGGAAGAATAGCCAGAAGCTTCTGGAAAAGCCAGCTCTTAGAGGAAGCCCTCCTTAGAGGAAGCCCTCTTGACATTCCCCCCGGGCAGTATCCTGCTGTGGAGTTAGGAGACGATCCCGTGTGGCAGTACCAGATCTGGAGTCAGAAGTTATTAAAACGTTCTGAACCTCATCCTGCCTGTCTCAGGATATGGGTGGGTCAACATCATTGCTGTGCCCAGTGGCAGAATGGACTAGCAGGAAGTCACAATGGCACCACAATCGTCCCTCGAGGCTGCTGCCTGCATGCTGACCAGGAAGGGGTGGCATGTAAGCAAGCACAGTAGCCTGTGGGAGAAGGTCATCTTGCTTGCAAAGGTGGAGGGTCAGCGCAAGAGAGGAAGACCCTCAAGGAGAGGGATTGATTGACTAATTCCTGCAGTGGGGTCAGGGGTGTCAGAGATAGCGCAGCTGACTCCGGATGGGGCATGGTTTAGAGCTGCTCATAGGGTTGCTGTGAGTCGTAGTCCACTCGGCAGAACATAAGCAGCACACGCATGCAGTGAAGGCAGCTCTGGTGGCATTGTGTGCTGTTGAGTTGGAACTAACTCATAGCTGACCTTCCCAACAGATTTTCAGGGACTAAATCACGTGGGAGGAGATGGTTGAGTAGCTGGTGGATTCAAACCACTCGACTTTGGGTTGGCAGTGCAGCGCCTTACCACTAGGAATTTGCACTGATAGCACAAAGGTGGCACCTCTGGCTGTTCGAATCCAGATAGTTCAGACTGAGTCAGAATCATCTTGATGGAACTAACACTAATGGCATGTAATGAAGAGCCCTGGTGGTGCAGTGGTTAAGCTTTCAGCTGCTAACTGAAGAGTCAGTGGTTCAAATCCCCCAGCCATTCCAGGAGAAAGATGTGATAGTTTACCTCTGTACAGGTGACAGCCTTGTACATATGGGACACTTCTATTCTGTCTTGTAGGATTGTTATGAGTTAAAAAACAAAACAAAACCCAGTAAAACATTTTTTGCTTGCCTTTTAGTTTAACATGCAATGATTCTTAAATGTATTTTTAGAAGCTATAAATTGGAATTTTTTTATTGTAAAATATGTGCAGCAAGGGAGCTCTGGTGGTCTAGTGGCAAGAAGTCACACTGTTGTTTGAATCCACCAGATGTTCTGCTGGAGAAAGAGGGGCAATCTCCTCTTGTGCCAGTCAGATTCGACTCCACAGTACATGACAAGAAAAACAAAAACAAAAAAATATGTGCAGCACACGTCTGTCATTGTAGAACTTTTGAAGTGTACATTCGTATGAGTTACCATCACCATGCTGTGCTGTTGTGACCACCATCTTTTCCCAAACCCTTTTTATCACCTCAAAAAAGAGCCACTCTCAGCCTGGGCCCCCTGTGCAGAAGCACCTGGAGAGCTTTTTGAAAATGCTCCGGCCTGGTGACCATCATATGCATTCCCAGGTGATGGTCACTGTGTGTGGGTGGACATTTGCGACTCTAAAGAAAGCATCACCAGCTTTAAGCCCGCGGGGACTTGACACCAGGAGGTGAGAGCCCTCTGGTACACCAGGCTTGGCATTTGGCACCAGCAGAGGGCACACAGAGCAAAGGCATCTTTGTGTCCACCTTGTGCTGAGCAAACCCCACACACAGACCCTCATCCCTGTGCCAGAGGAAGTGGTTTAGGGTTTCACCAGGACACCCAGAGGCCAACCAAGGTAAGTCAACACCAGCAGAGGACAAAAACCAGCTTGTGCAATCTTTGTAGATTTGGGGAAGACCCAGGCATGTGTGATTATCATCCTTCTCTGATAACCTCCAGGCATTTCCAGGCTTGGAGAATCCCAGCCTGGGAGTTAAGCTTCCCCAGAAGCGTGGAGTGCTTTCTTGGAAAATGGAAGCCTTTACATGGAGGTGGCCTCTATTGGCATTTCTCCTTTTAAACAACAATTCTGAAATAACCTGCAGAAATACACATGTGTATGAGAATGTTCAACTCTAAAAATCAAACAAAAAAGCTCCAATTGGAAAGAATGCTAAAGTGTCATTTAGGCTTTGTAGAGTTGTGGAGTCATTTGTGACTCAACATCAACTTTACTAACAATAGAAGGAAACCCTGCCGAGTCCTGTATCATCAGGTGACACCGGATGAGGCGGAATGATGCTACATCCTAGCACGGAATATGTTGTATTTGCACATGGATAATGTGTGTGTCATGCTTTTTTGCAAAACTTTAAAAGCCTTTGTGTATCAGTACCTTTTGTATGCTATATTTGTGCAGATTATTACCTGTAAAAAAAAATAATACTGTATGTTGCCTTTAAAAAGAAAGACTGAACTGTTTCTACGGATGAGGTCAGAAGGCAGTAGGTTAGGGATTAAGTGGAAAAAGCAGATCACAGAACAGTGGTGTGTGATCTTGTGTTAAAATGGAAAGAAAAAGGCACGCATTGCATGTTGGCATGAGGGTTTCTCGTTGGGTGGTTTGGATCCCCAGGCACCTTTCAGGAGAATGAGGAGGCTGTATGCTCCCAGAAAGACTGCATTTTGGAAATGTGGTAGTGGGCTGCCCCGAGTGGAATTCACTTGTTGGCTGTGGGCTTGGTTTTGCTTGGGGAGAAGATAGGTGATGAAGGGGGCCTGTGAGGGGACTGAAGGAAAAGACTTCTACTTCACCTTTACAGCTCTCTAGTAGAAAGGATGAAAGTTATATAAGCTTTCAGGTCTTTTGTTCATAGGATCCCTATGAGTTGCCTAGGACTCGATGGCACTTAACAACAGCATTGAGAGAGATCAATTGGCCTAGTGGACAGAAAGTGATGCTATCAAGCCAAAGGAGGGTGACTTTTAATTTGTGGCCCTCAGGCCTGTTTTCATAGCGACCCTGTAAAGAACAGATCTGAACCATGCTCTATCCTGCACTGTTCTCAGGAATGCTGCCATGCTCAAGGTCACTCACTGCTGCAATCATTGTGTCAGTCCATCTCGTTGAGGGTCTTCTTCTCTTTTCTCGGGTCCTCTACTCCCAGCATGATATTCCCTTCCAAGGACTTCTGCCTCCCCACAACCTGCCCAAAGTGAGCCTTCCCACAGGGACAGCTGCCCCCAGCCTCATCAGTTAATAACCGTGCTGAAGACATTCCCAAGAACAGATGTCATGGGCCTAGCTACTGGCAGGCGGCAGCTGGGATGACTAGCCTATTTCCTGGCATGGGGACCTGCCCTTCTGTGGCTGCTTTCTGCCTTCAGAACCTGTGAGAGAGGCCCAATGCTGGGAGCAACAAGCCCTTTTGGACCCCAGGCAGAGTCCAAGTTCTAGAGTTTTGTTTTGCTCCCGTGCCATCCAACTAGAAAATCTTGCCTGATTAGGGTTGATCAGGCAGGGCTGATACCATCTGGCCATGTTTGTACTGACTCCAGTGACAAAACAGTCGTTTTACTGATTAACCACTGAAACCTAGTCCAGAATTAATTTGGGCTTGAACTTAGGCTGGAAAATGGATTTCATATTTGAGCATGAGGATGTAAAGTGGTAGTGTTTAGGACCCTATGTGAGGTGGGGACTATTGTATATTTAATGACAACATAGATGTCATGGAGTTCATCCTGATTCTTGGTGACACCGTATGTGTCATTTCAGCTTTGCACGGCAGAATTTTCAATGGTTGATTATTTTAGGCCACACACTGGCAGGTATTTCTTCCGAGGCTCCTTTTGGTAGCCTGAAACCTTCAAGCTTTCCGTTAGCTGCTGAGCCTGTTAACCATTTTCACCACACAGTGACTCCGAGAGATGCATGTTGTCTTGTTGAATTGGTTCTGGCGCATAGTGGCCATAGAACAGAAAGGTACCAGCTTCACGGTCACACTGTTTGAGCCCATTCTTGTGGCCACTGTGTCAGCTCGTAGAGGCACTGAAGAAATACCAAATCGTTCTTTAACACGTTGCCGCACACTTGTTAAATTGATGACTGTGCTTAGAAACACATTTGCTGTCATTTGCGGCAACATGTTAACAAGCCATTTTCCAGCCCCAAAAAGGCCACATTCACGCTGATGTTCCCATTATAAATTTTTTTTATTCAAGAATACCGATTAACACAGGGAATGGGTTAAGTCTGGAATTGTGCATATGGTCATCAGTTACATTGTGACAGGTTGTTAATTTCTTCATCATTTATTGGCACTGTCAACAGAATACTGTAAACAAGATCACTTTATATATGTTAATTGGCAATGGTCCCCAGCTAAGGTTTTCTACTATGAGTTGATACATATGTATACATATGGATATATATATATCTAAAATATGTATCCATATACAGTTAGGTATATAGATAATGCTGTGCACAGTTTTGCATGGTTACTGAGTGTCAGTAAAAATTATAAAAAACACCCATTTATAATAAAAGTGAGGATGTGCTAAGACTTGCTATTACTGGACCTTGTTTTCTGTAAAAGTGACAAGACCTGCTAGTGACAGGACAGGAGTGGATGGCACTAGTACACGTGACGGGCTCACTCTCAGACCTCGGGCCTCGGAAGCTCTTCTCCATGGGCTCTGCCCCCCAGGCTCCTGGTGTTCTCACCGACCCCTTCCACATGTCTACCTCGTGAGCTCTGCAGAGAAGCCTCCCCCACCCCCGGAGTTCCTTCCACCATACCCCCTGCTCCCCAAAGAGGATGTCTCAGGAACTCAACGTGCCCTGAGTCAAAGAGAACTTGGGGGTGAATGGCTTAACAGTTTTCATGAGAAGTCACTTCCCTGGGTAAGGAGTGAATAGGAAGTCTGGACATGGCTTTCTCCAGATGAAATGCCTGCAGTCCTCAGTCAGGGCCCAGGGAGGAGAGAACAAGACAGTGGAGCCATTCTCTCCACCTACGACATTTCTGGTTGTGTCTTGGCTTAAAAACCTTTTGAGGCTCTGAGAACCTGGTTGAAAATTTGCACCCAGTACTAAAGTTCTCAGGAGAAAGAATCCTTAAGCCAGTAAAATGGATTATGGTCGGGTTTGCATTTCATTTGTTAAGTAAGGCCTTGAAGCTTGGGACTTTATATTGCCTATGGAATCTGGCTCCCCAGGGAACGGTGTGAGGCCGTGATTGAAGCTCCTTTGCACGCCAGGTCCCACTGCTGTTCCCTTTCAGCAGCACTCTCACTTGCCTTGTGTGTTTGGTGAACTCCTGCTTGCTCTGCAAAACTCTGTGCAAACATCACTGCCTCCCTGAAGCCTCCTCTGATTTCCTGATGCTCCTTGCTCATACCTCTGCTTTCCCACTCGCCACTCTGCTTTATTTACTGTTCAAGAGTCTGTTGTCTCTAATCGGATGAGTCCCTTGATATATATCAATATATATACACACATATATAAACTACAGGGACTATACTGCATTCTCCCTTTGCATCTGAGCACAGGATGCTGGGATGGAGGTCTTCAATGAAAGTGTGATGACTGGCTGGCTAAATGAACAAATGAATGAATGTACAAGTATGTGTGAACTTGTGGAGGGAAGGAGGCAGACCAGGCAGGTGGCAGTGCAAATGACCTTATTTAAAGTAATGCGTTTGCACCGACTGCAGGGATGCTATGGGAATTCATGGCTCTGTCTGAGACTGTTAAACATGAGAGTGCCTTTCATGCCTTAACAGAAGTAGGTCGAGGACCAAATCTGTTGAAGAGTGGAAACTAAAAATAAAATCCTTGGAGATCTTTGGGTGATTAGTTATTAAAAGAGCCAAGTGCCGAGTCAGCAGCTTTGATCTGCCACCTTCCTTGACTGTCAACCAAGGCACCAGGGCCAAAGTGCTTCCTTCTGCACTTCCTTATCTACCCATGAAACACAATTTGGCTGCTAGAGAACCATCTAGAAGGAGCACGGGGAAGTCACATCAGTGCCAAGAAAGTCTCCCCTTCACTGGAGAGAATTTAGCCGCAGCCCAGGGATTTATTTGGGCTCTCCGCACTCAGGAAAAGCTCTGTCTGGTTTTGTTTGATGAGTAAAAGGAGCCACCGTGGCCCGTGACAGAACCCTGTGCCTTTCATCCACGGAGCTTAAGAAGAGAACTATCTAGCTCAGCAAGATGGACAGCAAAGCTGTCCACAGCGCTCTTGGGAAGTGGAGCAAAAGCTGAAGCCAGCGAGGGCTCCCTGGGGTGAGAGGGAAAACTTGGCCTGATGGCCTGGAGAGATGCTGAGGTGGCTGCTGCCAGGCCTTACCTCACTCTCGCAGGGTGACACCCACTGGGTCACACACACGTCTCCCAGGATGCTCAGGCGGTGGCTTTCCTTCTGCCGTCTAGGTTGACATTGAACAATGGGGAGGAGCCAGTGGGTAGGGACCCCTGGAGATGCCGCCCAGAGACCCTCCAATGGGGAAGCCTCGCACAGGGTAAAGCGTTCCCCAGGTGCACTGAGATGGTGGCACTTCCCATGCCCGCCTCGGTCCCAGTGTCCCCAGTCTCCTGCTGTCCTGTCCCTCTCTCAGCTGTGCCTGGATCATGCTCAGAGCTCCAGTGACGGGGCAAGAAGGTGAGCGCATGATGGTTTGCATAGGGGAAGCCAGCATCCTTGGTCAAAGATTATGGCACTTGAGATGAACCAGAAGCCAGCGGTCCCAGCCAGTGGTCCCAGGAGTAAGTCCAACCCCCTTGACTGGCTTCCAGAGAAGTGTTAGGGTCAAGGGCAGGCAGAGATATGGACAGGCCCCCAGCCCTCCTCAGAAGACACTGTCCAGGGCTCAAGTAGGATTTCTGGGCTTAAACCAATGTGCGCCATTGGCTCTACAGCGAGGAAGGTCAAAGCCAGGCCCCTCCCCTCCCCAGAACCACCAAGAACATTCCCTTCCCACAGACAACCCTTCCATTGATGCGTCCACCTCTTGTCAGATATTCTAAGTGAAAACATGAATTAGGCAAACTAATCAATTTGACAACTGTTGAGATTGGGGCTTTCTCTGAGTGAATGGAAGCGGCTGCTTTACTTGAAGTTGGCTAAGATGTCACTGAAAATATTGAGGAACAGGTGCGCGTGGTGATCCCTGAAGACCATGGTGGGGCGGAAGCGGATGGACTTGTCGCCACAGCCCCCCAACACTACACCTGGAAGGCAAGGCAGGAAGACAAAGAGGTCAGCACGAGGCTCGGGGTCACACGCAGTGGTGAGCATGGCATGCATGTGTCCGTCTGTCGGGCCAGGCTTCCAGCTGCCCTTCCTTCCATCTACTCATCCATCCTTCATTCCCTGTCTCTCCTGTGATTCATCTCGTTTCTCTTTCTCTCCCTTCCTCTCACACCCCGACCTCCCTCCCTAGCAGATCATGTTTCCACTTAGCCATCTACCTTCCTGTTTCCTGATGACCTATGTACCTACCTTCTGGCCTCAATCCCCAACTATTTTTTTGAAATCCAATGCTGTTGCCCCTGAACTAGGCCTTTGGATGGAGGCATCTGGAAGGGAAGTCCCTAAATAAATGGCATACGCCTGGGCTGTATCAGCACTGTGGACGGTGGCTGGGTGCTGCTTATTTAAAAGGGACCATCACCATTTACCAGTTTGGAGGAGGGGGAGGTCCTTTTCATAGTTATTCAAGCATCCCTGAAACTCAGTTATTTTACTTTAAATTAGGCCTCTCCTCTTTGCCATCCAGGATTTCTGTGGGGATCCTGTGAGTCAGCAGCACAC